CGATAGCGCTTTTCAAGGGCTACATTTACTACTGTTCAAATTCAAAACAGCTCACTTGTCGATTTTTGCTCAAATTTCCGCCTGAATGTCGTCCACTGTACCTTAGGACACAGGCAATGAACAAATGACACACAACTGTTGGTCGATATTTTTACGGATATGTTACGGTTGATCGATAAAAACCAACCGTAATAGATCCGTAAAATATCAACCAACAGTCATCTGTCAGTTGTCCATTGCCTGTGTCCTAATGTCAGGGAAAAACTCATGGACCGGTTAGAGCATTTTTGAGCTAAAGCTTCAACAGTTGACTTCTACCGCTGGATGATTTATAAATCATTTAAAAGTTCAAAATTTTCTGACTATTTTTCCAGTGAAAAATCGTTCATAAAGCAAGATGTTTATAAATAACGATTTATAAATCGTAAATCTTTGAAAAAGTTCTTTTAAACTCATCAATGACTTCTACACGGACTTAGGTTATTATAGTTAATTTTACATGTTATGGCGAAAATATTGATGATAAAACAAGTCAATACAGTTGTGACAACTATGGCATATGACGCTATTGTATGTTAATTTTCAAACTGTCATGATAAGCAAGTGCTACTCATATAATGGAGCTTTATTTTCTTTTTCAGTCGAACATGTAGCAAAAGTATAGCAAACAGGTAAAACTATGAAAGCAACATTTTTGAAAGACGTCGTTTGTTCTGGATTGAATATATTCATTTCTTTGTACTCGCTACTTTTCTTATGAATATGTGTTGTCGTTGATACGGCTCACCCTCACCAAAAATGCTCTTGATTAATAGTAGAATTTGCTAAAATCATGTTGTCTTGTGAAGATATTGTTAAAGATGGTAAAGGCATACTGGAAATATCTCGAGTCACTTTTGATGACATTTCAAGTACTAATTAAACTATGCACATACAATAATCAAGCATTCGCGAAGAAAACACAGAAAAAGCTTTTAGTGAACTGTTGTAGAACATCACATGATAATAACATATTTTGTTGCTAGATTTGAATACACTTTTAAAAAATTCTGAAAATACATTCATCCTCTACATGCCAAATTATTACGAACTGTCAATAAAGCATTGACTTCGCTTTCCTGTGGAGTCGAGAGAAAATCTAAACATCAAAAAGTTTCAAGACTAGGGGAGATCAATGGCTTGGATCAATTCGTTATGCTTTTTTATGAAGATTTATGCAATTAAAGGATAATAGAACATGATTTTAATGCCATTTTACTCCTTTTAGAGATGATGTTTGTCATTAAAATCATGGACAGGTCAGGAAACCTTTTTAGATGAAGTAATAAACTTTTCAGAGTGATGAATGCAGAAACAAACTTCCCAAAAACGTACATAATTTTTTCGATCAAGAATTGTTTTATCGTTTCAAATTTCGGAGAATACACTGCTGCAAAATTTAATTCTTTAGTAATGATTAACATGACTGAATACATGTTTTCCACTATGTTTTGTTCTAGAATCTAACAAGAAAACGTTTTGAAGTCTCTCGAGAGTCCTATTCATGACTTGCTGCCGTATGAAGCTCGATTGAATCTAGGCGGTTTTCAGATTCTACTTAAGGGTGCTGATAGGAGAAAAATACCTCTCAATCCAGAATTTTATCGGTTTGATGTTGTGCTTAAGGGATGATTCTATCGACGTTCCAAAAATGAAAGTTCAACATTCAACAAGAAACGAAAGAAAATGTAAAACATACTCAACTTGAGATTTGACCGGTATTCGGTTTCTTTAGCGAAAAGACAATCCCACTCAACCGAACCGAAGAATCGAGATCAGACCTAAACATTTCAGAACATATATTTTTCGACTCAATTTTTAATGCTGATTCTGAAAAACGTCATTTTTTTACCGAAAAGTTGAATTTTGCTAGAGGAAAAAAATTTCTGCTGTCTTTTTGAATTGCCAGCACCTTACTGAAGACTAAAATTCACATCGATCGTTAACTGCTTATAAGATAGAGTTTTGAAACAGTTAAAATATCAGGGAAAAAACTAATATTTAACGTTATCAGTTAAATATCAGTTTTCAACCATTTGTCAACAAATCATGCACCTTTTTGTTTCACAATTGTGACTAATACAAACATGATGCTCATTCTTTTGGAAAACCTTAGAATTTTTCTCTTTTCTGATTATACAAGTCATCGAAACTTGTCTCGAGCAGCTAGCCATTCGTTCTGAGATTGGTACGTGTAGTGGTATCATAATGCTAAGGAACTAAAAATATTGAGATTGGTGAATTCAGTCTTTCTGAGATCACTAGCCGGAAAAAAGATGACTTTGAAAAATATTTGAACAATGAGTTGTTAACGGCCCATAATGATCTAATAACGGTCTTAAAACAAATATGATCAAATGTTTACTTTTGATCGTAATAGGTGCCATTTTTAGACATTCAAACATTCCCAGTTTAAATGTATAAAAAGATCCAAAACCTATCACAATGATCTAAAAATGTCCATTTAATAAATATTCAATGGTTTATTAATGGTTATTTAATAGACAATTAATTGCACTATTCTCGATGTCCTAGAGAACAATTCGGCGAATAACCGTTTGTCAATTTTTCACTGGTTTAGTAAACACATGAGTAATATATTCGAACATCATCGCGTCATTGAACATAAAATTGTTGTATCGATAGCTAGTAACAACCATTAAAATCACGTCATCTACTTTCATATTTAGTCATTTAACGATCAAGATGGAAAAGATAGAAGTGCATGCCGTTTATTTCTTTGTGTGTTAATAAAGAGACACAATGCCAACGAGAGAAAAGAAAAAAGAAAAACAGAAAAAAGAAAAGAGAAGCCAAGTCTAACTAGAGAACGTATATCATATATATATAAGACAGATTCAAACGTCGAACATGCGTGTATGGAGTCATTTTCTCTTCTCTGTTCGTGATGTGTGTTAACGTCAGAAAAAAGATGACGAAAAAATAGTTTCATTTTATAAGTATGTGCTTGTTATATTAAAGTAAACGTTTTGTCAACAGTAATCTCGATAAGTGAAATTTGGACTTCCTGACAGGTTTCTATATAAATTTCGAGTTGTACACTATTATTTCTTAATATGGCTTTCTCATACTATTTTTGTGATGATTTAAGGTTGTTAATATGACACGCTCGTGTCTTGTTGTTTATAATGATCGTCGTAAGTTAGTTCGTTTACCATCGTTAACCAATGTCGATGCAATTTGTGCTGAGTTATTATCACCATTTGGCTTATCATCAAAAGATGTCTATGTCAATATTAAAATTGATCAAGTATCGAGAACAAATGATTTCCTTGACTATTGTGAATTTGATTCATTAGATTTATTACCTTCACCTTTGAACTGTAACATAATCTATTTTCAATTAACAAAAAAACTAATACCTTCACGAACATTTCAACATACACAAACACAAACGGATGTTGAAGATATTAAGAGTGGATTTATAATTAATGATGATCAACTAGAACAAGAAGAAGATGATGATGAAATAACTATTAGAACAGATGAAAGCCAAGATTATACACCTCAAACAGCAATAGTACCAGTCACAACTCCAAAACGACAACACAGAAAACATGAGGACATATCAACGGAAAATCAAATACCACTTAAGGTAAACTTTCGTTGGATTTTCTGGAAAGAACTTTAAATTCAAAGAATAAATACTTTTATGTTTAGTATTCAAGTGGTATCATAGAATTGCCGACATATGGAGATAGAATTGATCAATTAATTAGAACAGGTATGTCTTACTTCTCTTTCACTCTCCTTTTTGCTAGAAAAAGGCTTTTGCTTATAGGTCATCTTAGTGAATGTGTGGAAGATATTCTATTGATTAGTCACGAATATTATTCACAGCGAAAGTTTAATACAAAAAAACACTATGGTGATTTTGAACAAGCATTTTTACTTCGTTATAAATTACATTCTAAATTAGCTTCATGTTCAACGTTGGTGTGTGAATATTCGATTCTTGATCAACAGTTTTATTTATGACTTTCTTGTTTATTTTTCTAGAAATCTATTCGCAAATCATTATCAACGAAAATGAGAAATCATCGATATTATAAACATCGAGCTAATAGAAAAAGTCACAATAAACAAAATAAGTCAGATCAAGAATGGCTTGAACAGATTGAACAAGACACAAAGCAGTATAGACAAACAGTAAGCTAGGATGCCTGTCCTAAATAGACCTGTAAAAGTTCACGTTTCGTTCATTGACGTGAACGCTAAACTACGTTGGCGTTACTTGAACGTAAACGCTAAAACACTGGTGAACGTGAGCTTTTTTTATACGAACGGTGCTCTGAAGTAAATAAAAAATTCTATTCTTGTACCATAGTAAGATATAAAGTTCACGTTCACCAGAACACTCGCGTTCACATTCAAGGAACACCAACGTGCTTTAGCGTTTATATTCAAAGAAAAAAAAAACGCTGAATGTTTGCAGCCCTAGTCCCCAATTTTATGTGAATGTGGATTTTTTGTTTTAGTTGCAAAATCGTCTGGAAGAACTAAACCATGATGAATATTGTGAATTGAGTATTACTCGTGTTTCTGAAGCGATTGAACAATACAAACAGCAACTTGGAATACCTGATCAGGTTTGACTGAATTTCTAGATGTTTTAAATAACAACGTTAGATTGTTTTCTGTTTAAGGTTTCAGAGTTAACCGCCGTTGAAACAATGATCCGAACGTTAGATAATGATGAAACAAATCCAATTATTGTTCATTTTAAGGTAATCAAAACTAAAAATCACATGATACATCGATATTTTATCGTATAATTTCAGAGCGAATATGGAAGTTTAATCGATTATGTTTCACAACGAATAGTGACTTATCCCACATTGATCGTGTTAGATGATGCCTATCTGATATTATGCTCAAAACAGCAGTCATTATTATTCCATTTACAATCAATTACTCTTAGTGAAATTCTTTTATACATGTTGGCTGTCTACTATGATTCATCATACGAATGTGAATTTTTTGATTTCATTGATTCGATTGCGTATCCAAATAGATCCAAGAATCTTTCTTCTAATGTTAAACAGTTGCACGATTCATTATTGCGATATCCTTATTACGTTGAAAATGTCAAACACGAATAATAAATAATTTCGATTTCTTCTGAATAGAGTCATATGATGAAATTCAAATATTTAAGTTATCTTAAACTATCTTACACAATTGCACCATCATAAACAGACACATTTGATCCAATATTGACTAACGTGTTGTTATTCACCACTTTAGTATACTTTTATATGAGCTGTCATGAGATGATTATTCACTGTAAAATATCACTCCACCTGGATCCGTACTTAAGATAACTAAAAAATATTCTCTTCCAAAGATTTCTAGAAAATGTTGCAAAACTAATATATTTTCTGTAGATATTACAATACTTACTGATATAGACTGAGTTAGAAGTTTTTTATTATTTTGCGAATACAACCACGGCTTATTTCACATAATGTAGGTTTTCAGCGGGTTTTTGGATTTTTCCGAGAACTAATATTGCCTGGAGATCCAGGGTAGTTGATAACTTATGTCAGCATATCCTATGTTGAAAATTGAATCGTACAGTGTCTTGTATTGCTAAAAACATCGTTTGAATGTGGTTAAGATCTTTAGCTTCTCTTAGTGGACCATTTTTACGCCTGTATCGTCTGTAATTCTTTAGCGTTATATTGTGCCTTAGCTCATTTTCTTTAGAGCAGATACATAATCAGTCATTTTGTTCGCCGTTGTCAACAACTGTTATTTACGATTGAAAGAAAGCAGCGAAGATCTTTCTGAACAACAAGTTTTCAAAGGCAGAATAGAAAGAGAAGAAATAATTGAGATGTCACTCTTATACGATGTATACATTCAAAACTAAACGAACAAAATCAGTGAAAAAGTTATATGCTTATTCCTGTCGAACGGCAAGATGCAAGATTAGTTTAGTTTAAACAGGAGGTATCCAGCATTAAATAATGGTAGAATGAGACCAATAATATACATGAGATTTTAAACTTATTCATTTTTCAAAAAATAATAAAAAATTGAAGTAATCCTAGTGAATGTACTTGACACAAGTACTGGGAATGAGTACTTGGGAAGTACGTGACAAGTTAAGCACAAATGTTTACTTGATCTGTCTTTGTCCATTACTCTAGTTTTCTTTTGTCAAATTGTCGTTAATCTTTTATTGACTTGAGTCATTGTTATTACAGGTTTGAGACGTTTAATGACTCTCACTTTTCGTGAATAAATAACTTAACATAAAAAAGAAAAGACAAGTACTTGGCAAAAACTTAAGACTGAGACTAAGATTGTTTATTAACGAAAAGTGAGAGTCATCAAAGGTCACCGACCTGTAATAAAAATGACTCAAGGCAAACAACACCAAAATAGTAATAAAAGAAATAAAATAAAGAAGACAACTAAGATTAGAACCAGAAGTAGTAAAAGAAAACAAAAAATTTTTAAAAAAACAACAACAAAAACTTGGCAAGTGTAGTTACTGGATTTGCTACTATAGACAAGTCAGTCATCCTTTTCTTTTGCATTGACCACTTATAGATAAACATCACAATATCAATCGTTATATTCTTATAAAACCTTGGCAAGGTAGCACCTATCGGTGCTAAAATGTGAAACTCATAATTATACCCTTATAGAATAAATCAGCTTACTTTTGTACGATCAAGTAAAGTCTCTTTTCAGTTCTTGCAAAGGTATTTTTATGATCACGTAAAGATATCATCGTCAGTCGCGTAAAACTTTTCAGAGCACGTAAAGGCTTTTTAAGGTCTATATGAAGTGTAAGTTCATATTTAGGTTTAGGGTCGTGAAAGCAGGGGGATGATGAGTAAAACTGAAGATAAATACTCCGGGCTTTGGAGTATAAACTGAAAATCTTTCTTCTCGGTATGACATGAAGAATTTCATAAAAAAGCTATTATTTTTAGGAATATCCATGATCGCATCGTACTTGAACTGCGTG